AAAAAAATCATTGATTTTGGTGTTTTCATCTGCCGATTTTTATCGAATTATAGCTATCCCATCCTTTATTTTTTGTTTCCAATAGCTTTACACATTTGGATGCCCCTACACATGTTAAAACAGACCTTAATGGGAAAACAAATTGGTTGTGCCGATAAACAAGCTTGAAAATCTTTGCTGTTACTTCATGGACGTTTTCTAGGAGTTTATGTTTTTTAAAATACAAGGTCTTTAACAAAAAATAACGTATACTTATTGTCGTCGGATTAACACCAAATTTTCACAGATTTAAGGTGACAGTGAGAGGAACTTGAATGTGTCCAGACAAACTATTTCATCGATTATTTACCAACGAGTTGTGGTTTGAGTAGGGGGCAATGCGACTAAAACAGTAATTGAAATTCAGCACACTATTTTTTTAAAATGCGTTGCTTGAATAATGACCAGACACATTCAATTTACCAGACTATTGAACAACTAGGAAAAGTGAAAAAAATATCACCAGTCAGACTGCCCACTAGTGAATTACCCACACAACAGAAATATCACCAGTCAGACTGCCCACTGGTGAGTTACCCACACAACAAAAATATCACCAGTCTGACTGCCCATTAGTGAATTACCCACACAACAAAAATATCACCAGTCAGACTGCCATTAGTGAGTTACACACACAACAAAAATATCACCAGTCTGACTGCCCACTAGTGAGTTACCCATACAACAAAAATATCACCAGTCAGACTGCCCATTAGTGAGTTACACACACAACAAAAATATCACCAGTCAGACTGTCCACTAGTGAGTTACCCATACAACAAAAATATCACCAGTCTGACTGCCCATTAGTGAGTTACACACACAACAAAAATATCACCAGTCAGACTGTCCACTAGTGAGTTACCCATACAACAAAAATATCACCAGTCTGACTGCCCATTAGTGAGTTACCCACACAACAGAAATATCACCAGTCAGACTGCCCATTAGTGAATTACCCACACAACAGAAATATCACCAGACTGCCCATTAGTGAGTTACCTACACAACAAAAATATCACCAGTCAGACTGCCCACTAGTGAGTTACCCACACAACAAAAATATCACCAGTCAGACTGCCCACTAGTGAGTTACCCACACAACAAAAATATCACCAGTCTGACTGCCCATTAGTGAGTTACCCACACAACAGAAATATCACCAGTCAGACTGCCCATTAGTGAATTACCCACACAACAGAAATATCACCAGTCAGACTGCCCATTAGTGAATTACCCACACAACAGAAATATCACCAGTCAGACTGCCCATTAGTGAGTTACCCACACAACAAAAATATCACCAGTCAGACTGCCCATTAGTAACACACACAACAAAAATATCACCAGTCAGACTGCCCACTAGTGAGTTACCCACACAACAAAAATATCACCAGTCTGACTGCCCATTAGTGAGTTACCCACACAACAGAAATATCACCAGTCAGACTGCCCATTAGCAAATTACCCACACAACAGAAATATCACCAGTCAGACTGCCCATTAGTGAATTACCCACACAACAGAAATATCACGAGTCAGACTGCCCATTAGTGAGTTACCCACACAACAAAAATATCACCAGTCAGACTGCCCATTAGTGAGTTACACACAGAACAAAAATATCACCAGTCAGACTGCCCATTAGTGAATTACCCACACAACAAAAATATCACCAGACTGCCCATTAGTGAGTTACCCACACAACAGAAATATCACCAGTCAGACTGCCCATTGGTGAGTTACAAACACAACACAAATATCACCAGTCAGACTGCCCATTAGTGAGTTACCCACACAACATAAATATCACCAGTCAGACTGCCCATTAGTGAGTTACCCACACAAAAGAAATATCACCAGTCAGACTGCCCATTGGTGAGTTACACACACAACAAAAATATCACCAGTCAGACTGCCCACTAGTGAGTTACACACACAACAAAAATATCACCAGTCAGACTGCCCATTAGTGAGTTACACACACAACAAAAATATCACCAGACTGCCCATTAGTGAGTTACACACACAACAAAAATA